ATTTATGCAGTCTATGATGTTTTTGCAACAAGAAGTAAAAAGTATCATTAATTATCAAGAATCAGAAAGAGATATAAGCACACAACAAAGGTTTTAAGTATCAAGTCTTCTCACATCCGGTTTCCCCCTAAAAGAATCCAGCAGTCAAGAACTATTTAAGTCAATGGCTACTTCCTTTGCAACAGGGATTTCCCCCCTTCCCATCCCTCCCCCACCAGAAAAAAGAAAAAAAAAATCAACTGCCCAGGATAATTTAGGCTTTCTCAATATTAGTTGGGTGGTTGGGCTTCAGTTACGAAAGAGCTTTGGGCTCGGAATGGATTCGTGGATCAAATGCAAATGGTTTTTCTCTCTAATCTTTGGCAATCCTTTTGGTCATTCAGCAGATAGGAAGGGCTTCGTGATGCTCTTCCTTCCCCTTTTTGTAGGATCATGCATCTATGATTGCAGAACCTGTTTATTCTTTCCAAGGACATCATCTCATGAGTAGGGAGGATTTAAAAGATGTAATTGACATTTTTGTCTTTCAGCATATTGTATATCATATTTTTTTATTTGTCACAACTGCAATCCCTTTGAATGATATATTTGTTCAGTTTCTGATAAAGAAAGAGCACATTGAACCATTAAGGTTAATTTCTGCATCAAGATTTTGCAAGCTCATTTATATGATGCATATCAAGATTAAGTATCAGATATCTACAAATCATCAACCCAACTGTTGCTTGATTATGGACTAGTCAGGAAAAAGCTAAACAATACTCTTCATCCAGACAACCACGCAAGAATCGTCTTTTCAGTGAGATTATTGAAGATACGTCTTCAGATTAAATCTTCTAAAACTAACTTCCACATTTGTACATCTGTGGTCCCATATTGGACATGCCAAATTATCTAAGATACTCTTCTGTTAATTTGTCCCCTATTGGTGCTGACTCCCCCTAACAGTGAATGAGTTATTTCTTACCCACCAAACAACTCTCACTGGGGAGAAAGTCATCTTCGTATGTTATATACATCGTATCCTAACAAACATGAAAACCGCATATGCATTCCGACCTACAAGCGCCGTACATACAATTTTAGGAACTCAAGAATTTCAAGCACCAAGCACACTTTTTACTCCAAAACATATATGAATTTCAAGCACCAAGAATCTATTGTTCACATGCATAAGCTGTTCTTATTTTCTTATCCTGCAGAAGAAGAGGAAGAATGTTATCCAGCAAATGAAATGAAAACAATGTAGAAAAGGAGATGATTTTTCAGTTGACCTGAAAGCAACACATTTTTCAATATGTAACAAGCATAATAACTCTAAAAAGCGCCCAAAATTATATGTCATCTTCCTTTCCATTTAAGGCATCATATGAAAGAGAACACTTATACAGCAAATTAAAAGCCATGAAATAAAGTTCTGGATCATTAACATGGCACAGAAAGTAAAAGATTCCTTAGTTCCCTAAAGTCCATACGTGTCTTAAATTGAACAAGAAGAGCTCTAGAGTGACATTTTCTCTCTATATACCAGACAGGAATGCAATTCATTGTGAGAACAGTGAATGCTATTGGGGCACTCAAGCCCTAACTACTGTCTTAGAACTTCAATTGAAATCACAAACCACTACACAGAGTTTATTAAATAAATAAATTTTATTTGTAGCAAAGATCTCTATTATGTGAATGGCCATCCTCACTTCACATGAAGATAGATGCCTTTCATGTTCATCCTACTGCCAAAGCCACACCAAATCAGTCATTTCTAAGATATCCTTGGACAGGAGCCTCATACTAATAAAAATCTCCGTGGATGCAGCTTTATTTTGTTAATTCAAAAAACCAAAGAAATTCCAAAATCTTCTGGACGCTTGTCTATTGTGTTTATAGTTCAACAAAAGCTGAGTTTATGTTCGAACTTGCACAATACCATTTTAGAGATCCTTGTACTTCAAAAGCTCAAAATCACAAATAATTTTTTGAAATACGAAGAAAATGTGAACAAATAACTTTATGACCGGTAAAATCCAACAAGAAATAATCTGATAAACACGTAGCAAAGAACATCTTTGTATACCTGGCCTGCCAATTGACTAGCTGCTTCAACAGAATTTCTGCCACATCCTAGCACTTTGCTCCCCAAACTCTGCCCAGCATACCTCCTCCTCTTGTAGGTTAGAAAACCTTCTCTTGTGCTAGTGCTCCCATTCCCAGAATTACGTATAACAGTGACTTCACATGCACTAGCCACTGCTTTACTTTTCAAGAACTGTACCCCCTGAATGCATTCCATACCATCTCCATTGCATGTTGCCTCCTCAAAACTCATATCCACAACTGACAAGAAATCCTAATTTCTCAAGCTTTTGACCACGAAATTAGGGTTTTACCATAACATGAACCTTCAAAGATTCAAAAGGTTTAAATGAATTTTCAAATACATTATTCACTACATAAAAACAGAAACAAGAAAAGAAAAGTATTGAAGGAAAAAAAAAAAAAAAAAAAAACCAGAAAATCCTCCGTTTGGTTGCCAAGAAATGGGAGAAAAAGTCTTGGGGGAAAACCAATTCCTAAAGCTCTTGTTCACTTGGAGAGACAGACAGTAAACAAAGCAAGAAAAGTACAAGAAGCAAGTTTCACAGGCATAATTTGTTTTCTTGAAAGGCCTCAAGATACTAAACTAAAGACTTTCGGAACCATGTTTTCCGCATGTTCTCCTACATTATCCAACCTGCCAAACAGAGCAAAATAAAGACTAAATTCAAAACATACTTGCACAGAGAGAAGCGAAAACCTTACCTGAATGGACAATTTAGAGCCCAAGAAGCAGAAACAACTGAAACCCTAAAATCAAATCTCAGGAAAATTTTCCGTAAGAACTCGGCAGTATGCAGACTGGGGGGGTCTTATCCGTGTCTTTAGTTTTTTTAAAAAAATTTGGAACAGAGTGGTGTGTACTGCCAGTTTTATTTCTGTTTTCCTCTTTTACACCCTTTCTTATATAGTTCGGGTCGGATCTGATACTGGACGACCCGGTGGAGGCAGATGGGAAACTGACGTGTAACATTTAAGTCTTTGAAAAGTCCGGCTTTTCGAATCCCACGTTCGGCCAAACATAACCGCCTCTATCGAAGGAGCAATATCTTTGTCTTCCCATGATAATTACGTACTTAATCTAAATAAAAAAAATTTACTACTAAATTAATTAAATATGATATTATCAAAATATTTGTATATATATATATATTACATATGATGATCTTAAAATTATGAATTAATAAATTTAAATAAATTAATCTAAGTAGATATTTAGTATATGTTTGTGTTATGTCCGAGATGTATAATATATAGATAAAATAAAAAATAATTGTAATTATCAAAAATTAATATTTTATATTATAAATTATTTACTTTTTATAAATTACATGGAAACATATTATATTATTAAAAAAATAAAGTAAATTATATTCTAATTTATGTAATTTAATTAATGTAGTGTATTTAAATTATAATTATTATTATTTTACGATGAAACAATAACTTAGTACATTAAATATTTTTTATTTTTTTTATTTTTGGTACTTTTTAAAAAAAAAACTCGATTTTAGATGTGTAATTAAAAATTCTTCTATCGTCACAAACAGTATTAGAATAACGTAATTATAATACACGTGAATCAAAAAAAGATAAATATACGATTCAATGTCTTTAATATTCGTCTTCTAACCAATCCACTACAAAAAATAATAATAACATCTAAGAATAAATAGTTCCTACAAATTAAAAAAATTTAAACTTCCATTCAACAGGAAAGAAGAAGAAGATGTTCGAAACAATAATGTTTGAAGATGATAGGGAACTTAATCCTCTTTTTGCAAGTGGTCAATAATAATGGGGACGAGGTACAACTCGACCTCCTTCCCACAGTCCAATTATCTACATAAGAAAAGATGAACCTCTGAAAACCTTGGGGACTTTTGTTAATCATTAAATTGCTCGATAAGAGAATCAACTATTTAATAAAATAAGCAAAACGAACCAACAAAATAAAAATTAACTCTTATGCGAAAATAAATAAATAACACGTGCATAATTATCAATGAATAAAAAAATTAAATATTTTGTATTATACACATTTCGAACACGAAATATATAATTAATTTCCAGTTAAAATAAAATTAAAAGACACCCTATAATATTAAAAACTTTATAGTAGCTAACATGATGTGTCTATGTTATCTATTTTATTAGAATTTGTCTCCCTTGTCTCAATAATGATTATAAACTTGTAAATTTTTCATATTATAATTAGTAGCATCTTAATTCTTATTTTAAAATCCAACTCTATAATATATTTCTCTCTAGGTAAATGAATGAATCCAGGCACGACAGTCATACGTGACGTACAGGTGTCAATCCTTGTTTTAGAGGATCTTCTATTTAGAAAAAGAAAAATAAAAATTAACGAGTTTATTAATAATTGATACATTGAATGAGTTATTTATTTATTTAATTATTTTTTTTCGTATCACAATGTAACTCTTTTTACGAGTGAAACTAGGTACAAGCATTATAATATATCTTTATATGGGATGTTTGATATTTATTATTATTTTAGGTTTTTATTTTGCACACCTTGTGTTATAAGCCTTAATTTTGTGTTGTTCGATATAATTACTTGCATAAAATTGCATAATTAGAGTAACGACATCTTATTATAGTAAAAGTATGTCAGTTAGCATCGATTATAAGGAAAAGAATGATAATTAAATTAGACGAGCTCGAGCACCTAACATATTTTCTAAACTGTATCAAGTTTCTTAACGAATATTTAATAGATCACTTACAATAGATTCAGATTGCGTAATTTTAATTATTTTTAGCTTCTATTCGAACAAAAATTATAGTAAAAATAGAAATATTATTTTAGTTAAAATGAATTATTTCTTTAAATTGAAGTTCTGTTAACCTCAAACATATATATTTTTATATTTAATAGGAAAATTTAGTACAAAATTAATATTACAAAATTATATTTTAATATTAAATAGAATATTAATTAATAGATGATATAAATATAAATATATATTTAATTCAATTTATTTCCCATAAAATTTATAATAATATATAAACCCCTGTTCTTACGACAGCTCTCTTCAACTCCCAAAACCATAAAGATGAGAACTCGTCATAACTCCGACGGGGTCATTAATCACGATTCCGATTCCGATTCCGATTCCATGCGTTGCTTATCGTGCAAGGAGGAGTACAACACACGCGATGCTGGGACCTGCAAGGAGTGCTATGAGGAGGCCAGCGAGAATGAGGAGGAACTCAAGCGGGAGATCGAAGATCTCAAGGCCAAAGTTGCTTTTCTGAGGTTTTGGTCGCCACTTGATCACAGCTACGGCAGGTTTACATGTCCTTCCTTCACCGACGTGGTTTTGATTGCTGCCGACGACGGTCCGGATGGGACCCCGGTCCCGGCGCATAAGGCTCTTCTGGTTTGTTCCTTGTTCTCGTCTATTTGTCTAATTTGCCTGACTAGCTTAGCTTGGTCTAGTATGTTGAATATACGGGTGTTTGATGATTACACAATTAAGCAGATGTCGACTAAACCATCTGGTTGTTTGTGTTACGATATAATGATATACAGTATAACGATTTGTTCTTAGAATGGCTTATTCAGTCTTACATGTCTACTGAGTGGTAAATGTAGTTCACTCTATAACATGTATAATCTATTATGTTAATATGCTTTCTTAGTTTGATGATTGGTTGGTTGTTGATAATTACAACATGTTTAACAGCGAGTTCTTTGAATCCCTGTTGCATATCAAAAACAGTTAATATAGGATCTTATACTTATATCAAATGTTTTTCCTCTTTTGAAAATACGGGCTGACTATCTTAAATTAATGGTCTCTCAAGTTAAGGGAATTTTGTTTATATCTCTTTGATTTTCATATGTAGATCACTTGGGAATAATACAAATACTAGCAAAAGGAAGTGAATAATGGGTGGAAGTTGCATCTTGTCTTTTGTAAACTTCAACTGTGAGGTCAGAAATTGCAGCTTATAGTTTGTAAATGTTTAGCACTGCATTTTTGAAAATATTGGCATTTCAGAATTGCCATGAGATCCAAAGCTAGCTTATTTGGTGATTTTTCTAAATGAAATATCAACATCACCGACTCATCTGATGCTTTTTAAAATGAACTATCATATCTGTGAAATGTGTGTTCATTCAGTGCCTTGCTGCAAATGACCATCTTGCTTGATTTTGATAATATATTCAGTTCTTCTGGGTAGAAGTTGCATCTTGTTTTTTGTAAACTTCAACTGTGAGGTCAGAAATTGCAGCTTATAGTTTGTAAATGTTTAGCACTGTATTTTTGAAAATATTGGCATTTCAGAATTGCCATGAGATCCAAAGCTAGCTTATTTGGTGATTTTTCTAAATGAAATATCAACATCACCGACTCATCTGATGCTTTTTAAAATGAACTATCATATCTGTGAAATGTGTGTTCATTCAGTGCCTTGCTGCAAATGATCATCTTGCTTGATTTTGATAATATATTCAGTTCTTCTGGGTGGAAGTTGCATATTGTCTTTTGTAAACTTCAACTGTGAGGTCAGAAATTGCAACTTATAGTTTGTAAATGTTTAGCACTGCATTTTTGAAAATATTGGCATTTCAGAATTGCCATGAGATCCAAAGCTAGCTTATTTGGTGATTTTTCTAAATGAAATATCAACATCACCAACTCATCTGATGCTTTTTAAAATGGACTATCATATCTGTGAAATGTATGTTCATTCATTGCCTTGCTGCAAATGATCATCTTGCTTGATTTGGATAATATATTCAGTTCTTATGGGTGGAAGTTGCATCTTGTCTTTTGTAAACTTCAACTGTGAGGTCAGAAATTGCAGCTTATAGTTTGTAAATGTTTAGCACTGCATTTTTGAAAATATTGGCATTTCAGAATTGCCATGAGATCCAAAGCTAGCTTATTTGGTGATTTTTCTAAATGAAATATCAACATCACCGACTCATATGATGCTTTTTAAAATGGACTATCATATCTGTGAAATGTGTGTTCATTCAGTGCCTTGCTGCAAATGATCATCTTGCTTGATTTTGATAATATATTCAGTTCTTCTGGGTCAAAGAATATCCTATGTGTGGTTTTTTTGCTAACTTTGCAGTTGTATTTATGAAGAATATGGACTGCACTATGTTGAAAGCTTGGTATCTTGAATTAATGTGGGAATGCATATAGAATTGAGCTTGCATAAATCCAACAGGCATGCCTTCTCAAAATTTAGTTCCTCGGTGCCAACTATTTGGACTTATCAAAAGTTCCATAAGTCCTGCCATAAGTATGTTATATCATCTATATTCTTTGTATTATATCTACTCTCCTTGTTGTACCTTTCAAGTTTGCATGTAGCTCCGAACTGATAAGGCAGGTCCTAAATCTTCTGGAAATGGAAGGTTTTTAATCTATGATGTTTACGTTGTGGGATCATTCATACATTCTCTGATGGCCGAGTCGCTTTTTTAATAGCATTTTTCTTTCTACTCTAAATTCTGAGATCTGAGTTATGTCCTTTTCTTTCTTTTCTGCAAGAATATCCCATTTTATAAGAAAATCAAAGTTGCACTTCTTCGCCAAAGTTCCTATTGTGAACGTGATAAGCTCTTTCTACCATGATTAGCCATGGATTAAAATTCTCTACTCTTTTCTTTTTTTGGTAAATAGCATGCCATTTATTACATGGGACCTTGAAGTATATGTGTGTTGCCTAAACAATTTAGCACAGGGGTAATTTCCTTCAATTATCTGTGGTATGGGTTTTACGTAATTAGCAAGGTGGTGCAGAACATGAAAAATGTATTGGAATTAATGGGTGTCTTAAAGTCGAGAATGATGAATGCTTGGTTTTCTGCTACTTACATGTGGATTTGAAGACCCCTCTTTAAGAACTTTGGCTTTTCCTCTGGATAATTTCTCATATGTTGTCAAATGCTCCTGATCATCTATGTCTATTTGACAAATCTTTGAGTTGCAAATGTGAGATATATCCATTTACAATTTTTTTTTTTAGAATTTAAGCAATGCATTGTTCATATACTCTGCTTTGCGAAATTGGATTGGATGATATATCTTCAAAGATGTTACTTGAATTCCATTTGAATATTTTCATTCACTTGTTATCAGGTGAGCCGTTCCCCAGTATTTAAAGCAATGCTTGAGAATGAAATGGAAGAAAGTAGAAGCGGAACAATCAAGATCAGTGATGTCTCATACGAGGCTCTTCGTGCATTTATCAATTATTTATACACTGCGGAGGCATGCCTTGATGAACGAATGGCCTACGACCTTGTAGTACTGGCAGAAAAGTACCAGGTAAAACACCTTAAAGCTCACTGTGAGAAGTTCCTGGTATCCAAGCTGAACTGGAACAATTGTCTCATGAACTATGCCTTTGCGCATCAGCATAACGCAAAGCAAATGCTTGATGCAGCATTGTCATTGATCATAGACAACATGGACAAGTTTACAAAACTAGAGGAGTATGCAGAGTTTGTGGAGAAGGATCCACGGCTTGTAGTGGAAGTATATGAGGCCTATCTTTCCAAACAGGTTAATACTGCAGCCCACAGGGATCCATCTGTGAAGCCATAACCCATTTATGCCTCACATTTAGCTTTTAAGCTGAATATTGCGTATATGTTCTCCTCTTGATTGATGTATACACAGGATTTAATTAATTATTAGAAGGATCTATCACGAAGCCTATCCTATTCAATGTTTAGGAGAAAATTTTTTGTGGATATGGTAAGACGCTGTCTTTCTTTTTAAGATTTTTTTTCTCATAGCAAAAATAGTATAATTATCATTATCACTATAATTACTATTATCATCAGTAATTTAATGACCGTCACTATTATTTCTCTTGCTACCTTCTCTATTCTCGCCGCTATTTCTACTGCCTTCAAAATTGTCAACTTTGAGATAGTTGTCCATCGTTATTATTATTGTTACTATTAATATTTACTGTTATTGTCGCAAATATTCTTATTCTCTTTACTATTATTATTGAACTGGTATCATTATTATTATAATCACTATCTCTACTAATATTTTAATCCTATTATCATTATTGTTATCAATGTCATTTTATTCCATCAATATTGTTGTTTTTGTACTACCATTTTGATTCTTTGTCTTCACTTCCATTTTAGCTACTGTTAACACCACACTGACTTTCCATGTGGTGATACTATCTAATTGCTTCACCCCTTCTAACTTAACCCTATTAAGTGGTAAAAGAATGCTAAAGATTTAAAGACAAATAGCTTAAGATCTCATTTATTATTTTGACAACAATGATTAACAAGACACAAGCTTTTTTGGGTTGAGGCTCGCTATCGAGTAAGAGTTGCAGGGATACGACTACTAGGTTAATGTAGAGAAGCCATCCATGTACATCGAGTTTCGAACTTCCTGTTGCAATCAGAAGCTTTTTCTTTTCAGCGAAGTCTATATGGTACCTCTTCTTGTTAGATTGCATTAATGATTTAGTTCACAAAAATATCTTTCTATGCTCCTGTTTTTAAGGTCTTTGCGGAAAATCTTTGCATAGAAATGTCGAATCTGAATGTGTGAGGCAAAAAAGCAAACTCATAAATCCAACTTATATACCTTGTAGTTCACAAAAATATGGAATGTGGTTTTTCAAAACTCATCCACATTGTGGGTCTCCTTTCTTCTCTCTTCTTCAGCTTTGTCGCAAAGAGCTTCCCTTCCCCTCATCATCGCATCCTCGGTTGTCATCGGTTATATTGACGTGAACACACCATCTAATTTGAAAATTTTAAGGGACCAATCAAGACTAATTTGAAAATTCAAAGGTGTATCTAGACCAAAAAAAAAATGTACGGGTCAATATTGAAAATTTAAAGAGTACAGTGGCTCTTTAATATTTATTCCTTACTGTTCCCATAAATCCTCAAATAATATGTCACCCTGAAAGAAGAAAAACTCTGGCTCCAGTTAGATCAAGGACTCACCCACAGAATATGGTAGGGGAGAACTGACAATTGGGGCCAAACCCCGTGTCTGTACAATTAAGTATTCAACATTATACAAACTCCCTAGCCCTACCAATTGGCAACAAATTAGAACAAACGAACTTGAAAAAAGAAAACCATTCCCTTCTGTTTTCCTATTTCCATAAGACACCCCCGTCTCCGCCATATTATTCCAATGAGATTCTGAACCTTACCATTATGCTGAAAGTCTACAGATAGAATTACACATCCCCTATGTATGATAGCATTCAATTTCTAATTCATCCCAGTTTGTGGCAAAAGGAATGATGCATGTAGTTTTCTCCAGCTTCCAGGATGCCAGGCATGTCACATGCGTTTCTCACATATTAAAATCTTCCAGCTTGCGTAGGGGCCTTCACTTGTGGGATGCAGTCCAGCTGCCCATCCCATGGCAGTTGCTAGTTCCTGTAGTTCACCCATAACATCTACGGAGTCTCTTATATAAACATGTCCCCCAGGTCTTAGCATTCGATCCATCTCGAGCATGATGATTGAGCTATTGCATCTGAACCAATAACAGACAACAAATTTATCTCAAAATATGTTCCAGGACGAAATAAAAAGATAATGAGCCAGAATCATAGAACATCAAGAGCTTATACCTCTTCTTTTCGATGGAGAACAGGCCTGCTGCATGCAGTAAGTCATATGTCCTGGGATAAGTATCAAATGGCTCACACCTAGGAAATAAAATTTCAAAATTATGAGCAGAGCTCAAGACCTTGGCAAGAAAGGCATGAAATTGAGAAAGATTATACAATCAAACTTCATATCATAGCCTAAAGAACTCCAGTTTACATGCAAACACTTCTATTGTTATTATTATTATTGAGAATTGTTTCAAAACAACATATTATTATGATTGAGAAACAAGTGCAAACTGTTATAGATGTGCGTTGAAACTTCAAGTTTTAGACTAATTAAATAGACAATACCAGTTGCTTAACAGACTATAAATTAAAGATAACAATCTTGCCAATTTACAAGTGCCTTTAGTTGTATTGGTAAATATAAACTCATGCTATCATACTGCTAGATTTAGCGCCCTCAGGTTTTTCTTCTGGATTTTTACTAAACTCCATTTTTAGGATGTGGTGATGACTAAGTATATTTTCTTTGGGGGTGGGGGACGCGGGGTTGGGGTGGAAGGGCACACTAAAAGATGTTCTAATGCATTATTTTACTTTGATTTCTTTTTACTCTCTTTTTGCAGATATCAACTCTTGCTTCATTTCATCCTGAACATTCTTATCATCATGTGTCTTATTAGTGATTTAAAGAGAAGGATGGTAAGGTGAAGTTATATTGATGATCAACAGAAGCATAGACGTCATGCATTGATATGACTGGCATTAGTTAATGTGATGGAATAGCACTACATAGACAAAATTGAAACGGGAAAAAGGAGCTATAAATTTGCCACATAAATAAGGTTTTGTGAAGCAAAATTGCAAAGCAGAGTGGAATATGCATTATCCCTACCAGTCATGCATGACTCCTACAAGTCCACGGTCATAAATAACAGGCAAGGTATTGAAACCATTGACAGGAACAACATTCATAACCCAGCAATCAATCTGCAGATCATTTAATGCTGCTGCAAACCTGGCATAACCAAAATAATCAAAAAGTCATAACATTTATTTCAGTTAGAAAACATACGGAAATCAGATAAAAGCTTCACGACTTATAATTATGTAGTAGTAATTTCAAGATATTACAATTCTATGTATATTATACCCGCCAAGTCCAGCTCTCATGTCCATCACATTCCGTAGTTTGAATCCTTTCCAACGGAAAGCACGGATATAGCTATCTATTACTTCATTCCAATAATTTGACTCTGCTCTGAATACTTCCTTTCTGGATGTGTAAGCATCCATTTTTATACTCTGAAGCCTGTCAGGTGGAGAGTGAAGACGTGCAGGCCATGTAGTAACATTACCCCCATAACCATTTTCAGGAAGTCGAGTTATGCATGGCTTCAAACCAATGTACCTGCAAAAGGCATCAAAACTTGTTATTGATTATTTAAGATGCGTTAAACTTGATTTGGCTCATTGGTTAAGCAATCTGCATGTACTTTTGTGGAACATCAAGAACAGACTGAACAAGCAAAAGTTATGTCCCATTAAGCAACCAAAAATAACTCTAGTGGAAATTGCTCATTCGCTACGGTTGAGTCTATGTATTTATAAGTAAATGAAAACTGATTGATATTGAGGCTATGTTTAGACTTTTTAGAATAAATGACCTTCATTCACAGAATTCATTTGAAAAATTTACACTTCTTTAAACTATGAGAAAGTGAAAATTCCTTTTAAATTATGAAAGTTGTTCAAATACCACTTGAAATTTTCTAGGGAGTTCAATTTTCATCCTTTTGGAAGAAATTTTTGCCAGCTCACAGATCTAAATTAAGCATAAACTGTTTAGATGAACTCAACAAATGAAGTTTATTCGTTTCAGATATTCCTTCAATGAAAGTTTAAATCAGGTTAGTGGAGCCAATAACCTTTTCCCAGCATCTTCATTCCTTAATGCTAGAGATGATCTCATGCAAACATATGATAAATAGATTTCAACATGGGAAGACATAATTATAAGATTTAACCAAAAACAAGTAAATTTCTAAGTCCAGTTTTATTGGCTGGAAAGGCACGCTATGTTGATTAATAGCTAGGGCTCTACAAAAGCAGGGAGGAGAATCCTGTCTGATACTAAAGCTCTAGGCTCAAAAGTCTGTCCTTTATGGGGCATTCATCGTGGCCTAAAGTTCACCTTATGCGGGTGGGTAAACCCTGCAAATATGCTTTCTACCAGAAAAAGAAAAGTCTCTTTTTAGCTATTTTTTTTGCAATTATGATACCATCAAGTTATGAGACAAAGGTAACAGCTAACAGAATCTTACCAGTTCTAAATTCCTAGCATCAATTTCTGATACTTGGATCAATGAGATAAAAGGGGCTTATAAATTGCACAAGTTAGAGAAAATTTTCAATTGAAAGATTAAGGCACAAGAAATATTTACTAATGTGATTGACATTATATGACTGGAACTTGAAGGTTTGAAGCAAGCATACCAAACATGGTCGGGATCATCCTGGGGAGCACATAACAGAGGCTGCACTCCAGCTTTGCGATTAATATAACAGCTATTGTTTAAAGGCTTCTGCCACACAGCAATATCTCCTTCTTTCTTTACAAGCTCCCAACAAATTCGAGTGGTAAGGTCTGTCATTTCTGCAAGTTAAGAACCAAAAATGAATCTGAGCATTTTAAAACACCCAGTTCTCAAGTGCTAATAGGTTATGGTTCTATTAAATGCAAAATAAATACTCCTGTGCTGCTACTAATAGTGAAAAAAACAGCAAGGAGCACTGAACCAACCAAGGTATATCTGCATGCTAATTTTAGAAAACAGAAAAAAGGAATTCTCAAAATTTGAATATGTAGGATATAACTGCATGAAACCCATCATGTGGATACTAACATGAAAAGCTACCTTTCCACTGTTCCTGTAGTTTCTCTACGTGCTTATATACAGATTGCGCAGCCCATACAAAGTACCCTCCTGCCCTGAGCATCCTGTTAGCCTCAAGAAGCAAAATTCCATCTACATCAAAGCCAAAGGGAAACAAGGGGCCACGAAGCTCATAATCATGTCAAGGGTCTTATTTCTCTCATAAACAGTATAGTTATTTTCAACAGAATGCAAGTGCAACCAGATAAGTCTAAATTCTGTTGCCAGATTTGACAGCTCAAAGATGTCAATAAATGTATCCGGATGGTAATGCAAAATGTTTCTTCTCAACGGTTTGAAAATGTCTCATGCAAAATACTGAATGTAAAGGCAAAGAAAAATAAGTACCATCATGAGTCCAATTAATTCTGCATCTCGAACAATGAATCAAGTCAAAAGCTTGGCTTGGGTACGGTAATCTGCGAGTAGCAAATGCTGCAATCATTGCAGGCACACCGCGTTCCAGTGCAAATTGAATCTGGTTCTCATGTATATCTTTTGGTGCTATGGACAGAGTAGTCACATTATGCTGGAACAAAAAGGCACCAAAACTTGCAACTCCACAACCAATATCTAAGGCAACTCGGGTGCGTTGTCCGAATGCAATGTCGGGAACCATCTGCAGGATCAATCTAGGACACGACAAAATCAATCTAGAGCAGATAGAAAAAGAAACCGTTTGGAGAAATTTAGAAACAGTCCGACCTGCAAAATCTGATTCAAATACTGATCAGCCCCGTGAATAACCTGAGACCCACCTCCTGGAAAGATGAATTTATCATCCTTTACTGCTATCCGGTTCCGGTCACCTTCGTCATCCACCAAACTAGTGCGAGGCACATTATTGAACCATACCTGTCACACGATAGCCTTGTAATTTTTAAACAAATCCAAGATAAACTCCTTTCCGGGTCTCGGGGCATTGCCAAACAATTGCTAACAAGACGCTAAATCACATGAGCAAATCCGATTGAAAACAGTGACTAATCGTTCAATGATCAAGCAACATGATTAAATACACACACACACGCAGATACATATCTGTGTATACATATATCCGAATTTTACAGCTTAACCTTTTAAACCAAAATTCCGGGTTTTTCTTTGAAGCAAAAATGTACTAATACTATAGGCTACTCTACCCAGAATGACCACTAAACTTGAGCATCAGTACAGCTACATTTTCACAGTTCAACAGAAATAGAAATTAATAATGAGACTAATTTTAATTTAGAAAATCCAGAGATTCCATTACACGATTTCACCTCGTCTCGACTGTCGGGCCAGGGAATGCGGATCTTGTAGCCATTGGGCAGAGGAACCAAGCAATCCAAGCGGTTAGTCGGGCAGTGCCTCTCGTACCTTTCTCCTCGGGTCGCTTCCATTGAGTCTGCTGATTTCTTCTTCGTTGCCCATACACGGTACGTAATCTCTCTTGCTTTGATCGCACGGTTTGTACTTGTCAACCCTAACGCGAACCTCATTGTTCTTACTCTCTATTTCCTCTTCATTCTGGTTGGAATCCCTGATTTCGTCAGTCACGTCCGAGTCAAATCCTTCGGCGTCAAAGCTGTCTGACATGATTCCTTTCTCATCGATTAACCCCAACCAGATAACCGAGGGATGTGGCGGCGGCGGTGGCGGCGGCGGCGGCGGAGGAGGAGGGGGAAATCCCCTGGGCGGCGGTTGGGAAAACAAAGTCGGAGCGGGAATTGGAGTGATAGTTGCGGTGGAGGAGAGGGAGAAGGAGGGAGAAAAGAAGCGGCTGGCGAGGAAAAAGAGGGAGAAGGAGAGAAAGGTAAAGGCTGTAATTTGGAAGACTTGGGGTTCTTGGAAACGTCAACGGCGGTGGAAAGCAGATTTGTCATGTTGCAGGAGGGAATTTGGGGGAGATCGAGAATGAATTGGGGAAGTGGAGACGGAAGAAGGAAGAGTAAATCCCAGAGGGAAGACGACAAGAAGTGATTAGTTGGACACGTGTCGCTTACGTCACATATTCTTCACAAGTACTGCGCGGGTCCCGTGCGCTTCCCCGGCGTTGCATGAGGATTGCGGCGGCCGTCGAATATAAATATTTAACCGACAGACACCCGCGTGATATCATTATTACGTACTTTTTGTTATTAATATTATTTTTTAGGCCCTACATTACATCTAAAATTAAAATTATTATTTTTAATTATGTAAAAAAGAAATTTGTCTAATCAATTTTAAATCAATTATTTTTTATATTAATTAATATGCATACTTTTTATACGGGAAATAAATAAAAATTAAATATTAAAAAGGTTTAAAAAAAAAATAGAATGATTTATGATGACTTTTAAATTTTTGGAAAACGGTGTCGTTTAAAGATATTTTATTTTTTTAAAACAATTTAATAAACGTCATATTTTTATATTAAGAACACAAAAATATTAAAATAAATTTTACTTGTCATATATTAGAATATACATATTGTGCTGGAATTTGATATTTTAATTTTGATTTTAAGTATTTTAATTTTTAAATTATATTAAATAACTAATTAACCTAAAATTTATAAATAATAGTGTTAAATAAAATACCACGTAACCTATTATGTAACATGTTGCGTGATACGCTAATCTTATATTATTACTAAATAAAAATTACTTAAATTTAACAAAAATATATACACGTAACTTAGAATTTTTGACTACTATTAAGATTGTCATTGTAAATTTAATTTTTTTCTCATATGGTAATTATAAAATTTAAACTATATTTTTATATAACTTTCGGCTTTTAATATTGTTGTTGTATTAGTGCGCGACATAACAAATATTACAGTATTAACGTATTATATCACGTAATATTAATTAATACGTCAAATAACATCTAATTTAACAATATTGTTTGAAGAGTTTTTTTTTATTTTATATAGGGTGACTGAACATGATTCGTTTGCTTTCGTATAAAAGTATTACGTTATTTGAGTTATATATTTTTAACGGACTGAATATTTATTTAAATATAATTTTTATATTTAATTAATTAAATTTAAAATTAAGATAAAACTAAGTATTCAAATAATTTTTGGTATATTGACTAGTTTTCTAAATATAATTATTGTATTTAATTGCTTAAACTCAAGATTAGGGTAATTTAATTCTAAAAGTTGAAGTGCATTTAGCATCCCTTTTTTTTAACGTGTGGGGAAGAAGTCAACTTTGAAATACAATTTTCAGTTGTCTTTACAATTTGTTATATATGTAGACTTTATGCTCAAACTTTGAACTTTATTATGAACAAAGTTTGAAAATGAAGAAGAAATATTTCAAATTTGGGTTTGTATTTAATGTTATTTGCAATTACACTTGTCTTTTTTTTGGTAAGTAAAACTATATTGGTCTGTGGAACCGACCAATATATATATATATATATATATATATATATGTATTATATGTATGTGTGCATGTATGATCAATGGAAATCAATATATATATATATGTGTGTGTAGGAACACGTGAAGTAAATAAATAGAAGAACAGGAGTGGCTATTATGATAAATTACATTCTTCTGGATTCTTAAATTCAACAGTAGGCTGCTTTGAGTTGATTTATTTTAGGATTTTATAAGAAATACAAAAGTATAAAGATGTAAAATGAATCAATTACATATGTATCACCTACTAATCTCAGTCTGGTGTATATACTGTTATAATGAAGTGGCAAAACTTGTTGAAACTAATTAATTATACATATACATATACATATATATATATATATATATACATACACTAATCTAAGAAACAGCATGCACGGACATCATGTGTTTGAACTCTTGATAATCGAGCATCCCATCTAAATTAGTATCATAAACACAAATCATGACCCTGCAATCTTTACCATCCCATAATCCCAGCCTCGATAGCACCATTTGAAGCTCTTCGCATGATATGAAGCCATCCCCATTCATGTCAAACACTTTAAACGCCTTAACAAGATCGTCGTCGTCGTCGTCGTCGTCATCACCATTTGAAGAAGAAGAAGAAGAAGAAGAAGAAGAAGAAGAAGAAATGGAGGCATAGAATGAGATGAACTCATTCAAGTTCAGACTCGATTTTCCTCCCACTACAAACCCAATCTCCTCCAAGCTAATCGCCACTCCGATTCCATCCAAAACCCACTTTATCTCCTCTACGCTCACGACTCCATCCCCATTCTTGTCCAGCTTCTCAAAAATCCGCTGCAGTTCCTTGGAGTTCAGAGGACGACACATGGTTGCTGCAGAGACGATATCGTATATGTACTACCGCCTACGTTTATGGGCGCTATATGTGTATATATGGAGTTTATAGATGTATGTGAGTACTTGCCAACTTCCACCTGTTGTATGCTGAGGTGAAGGGTTCAAGATACCTATATATATATATAGAGAGAGAGAGAGAGAGACAGATACATACTCCGTCAAAATGTTCAAAGAAATCAATTTTCGAGAAACTTCGAGGGAGGAATTAGGAAAGCAACAAATACTGTTGAAGTCCTTCCCTACCACTTGTTTCTTTTGTTGAATTTTCTAATCATCTAAAATTCAATCATATACCATAACACACACACACACACACACACACACATATACGTATATAAACTGTATCCCAAACGTCGTCTCTCGTGTCTCTTTCCTATGAATGTGTCCTCTGGGTTTTGAGCTGAAAGAATTTATAACAAGAGATGAAACAAAATCGGTTTTTTTCTCCGTAGAAATTATTGGGAAGACTTGGGAGGACTTGAGAAAAAAAAAGATTTGAACTTTTACTTATTTATCAGGTATTATTTACTCGGAAATTCCAATAATTTTAAGGGTATATTCTCTTAAATTGTTTTAATAATTATGTAGAACATTATTTTATATCATATATATATATATTATTTATAGAAGATAATAATAATAATAATGGGTTCCTGTAGCCCTTGGTGGGTTATGGAGAGGTGGTTGTACAGGTTGAGATTCTATCTAACTTGTTACAACGTAAACCTCCAAATTCTTCTGGTTCAGTAATTAAGAATCTACGTTCGTGTTTTTGATCCTCAAAACAGTACTGAAAAAGAAGTTTTAGTGTTTACTGTAAAAAAAAAAAAAAAAAAACTGCAGTGTTCATTAGAATTTTACCCATAAAAATATATTTAACTAATTTTATTATAAGATTAATAGTAAATATTAATTTCAAAAAATTATGATTTAATTTTAAAATAAATATTATTTTAATAATTTAAAGAGAATTACGTTTAAAGCCTTAATAGTAATAATTCCCAGAATAACTGAGATGACCACAGTCCTTTATTTACGTTAAAAAAAAATCCTGGTTTACATTAAAAGTACGGTGTAGAATTTATTATATCCTCGAGCAGGATAAACAATAATGAGATTAAAAGTTTTGTATCATACAAAAAATTTCACCTAATCAATCAAGATATTCCTACCCAGCTTAAGTTACGTCCTCTTTCTGACTTGAATATCAAATTCTAAGCACCATGTTTCAGGGGAAGAAGAGAACGTTGCACGATTCAAGGCTTCAAGACGAACTTGCCGGCCTCGGAATAATTTTCTTCTACTTGCTCAATTTTGTTAAATCTGAAACCTCTAATCCTTATTTCCTCCGGAAATGAAGTATCCTTGTAATCAACTTTTTCAAGGATCCAACCTTTGTTGTGCACTGAACCTCCTACTCTTACCTGTTTTGGAGATTAAATAGTTAGAAACACTCTGCGGTTACAATTTCACATGCTATATTTATTTAAAAAGAGAAGATGGAGAAAGAAAAATATTGTAAACTTTTTTTTGTTTTTTGCATCAACTGTAACTTGCTAATGAAGGGGTGTGTTATTTGTTTGTTCTAGCATACCTCTGCGGCATCAGTAGAGTCAATAATAAGAGCTCCATCCAATAAGAGGTCTTCAATAATTATATTGCGGCCCTTGATGGCCAGAGTAGATTTCTGAGAGATGGAACAACCACCACTAACTTTACGTTTGATCTCAGAAAAAGTCAGCCCCCATTTTGGCTTCCATGCAATACAAGGCCACACTTCCAACTCTTGCCCGTTGAAAACCTCTTGCACTGGATCATCCACTTGAGCACCAGCCTGGAAAGCAAATAAATGTGAAGTCACAAAATTCAAAAATTCGATCAAGAATGATGGTGAGAGAGAGGGACTCTAATACTTATGCTATGGGCGTGATTCTCCCATATCATCCTCTTATTCTAACTTATTTTCTTAAAGGTTGCAATATAGATATCTCTACAGTCTCCCCTGAAGTGACCATGTTTCAATTTAGAGTAGTGCGTGATTCTCCCATATCATCCTCTTATTCTAACTTATTTTCTTAAACGTTGCAATATAGATATCTCTACAGTCTCCCCTGAAGTGACCATGTTTCAATTTAGAGTAGTGCGTGATTCTTCCATATCATCCTCTTATTCTAACTTATTTTCTTAAACGTTGCAATATAGATATCTCTACAGTCTCCCCTGAAGTGATCATGTTTCAATTTAGAGTAGTGACTATTTAAGATGGTGAATGATAGCAAGCCAAATTAAATTGCAAGGTTTGGGAAAACCTGTGTGAAATAAACACCAATTACAAAGTTAACCTCGTGTAGCCAGCACTTTTGCTTTAGAATTGCCCTGGGTATGCACAAATAAAATAATGCACATAATTTTACCTTTCTAAGGATGAGGCTGTTTGCACGGTAGATGGACATTTCTCCAGAAGTTGCACTGTGATATGGATTTCCTTTGGGCACCTTCAGTAGATATGAGTGTTTAATAGAATAGAATCAAACTGTCAGGTCATGTTCAAGATACTTATGCATATGAACAAGAGATGCAAAAGAATAAGTTTGGCTGAATAAATAATTTAACCAAGATTTTTGAAGCAACAAATTTAGAGATACTTTTTTCAGAAAGACCATTCCCAACAGCAAGTGACCAAGAAGATTACTAAAGCAACAGACAGTTATCGGAAGTTGCTACGTAAAAGGCAAATATTTTGTCAGTCTTTTAGTCATAAATCCCAACCTTATGATCCATCCGTAGAGAGAGGTAAAATTATTACTTTTATTCCATAAAGCTCCGTGTCATTATGAAAAACTATTCATGATCTAGAAAAAGAGAACATGAAAGACAAAGTAACAATAGAACAACTTGTTCTTGTAAATGAAGACACTGGGAAATTCAATCTGCAACTTATCTATTTGGTACTTCTAGTAAGCTATCATACCTTGTTACTAGCTCCATGGACTTCCAGTAATGTATGCTATTAATCTACGGATATCATGTCCCATATAATGGTGGAAAGAAAATTAGTTTAAGAAAATTAGTTTAAGACCATGATTGTCCACATCGTTATATTTTTCCCAGTTGCTTATATTGTTCCATTTTTCTCTTTTTTTTGGTTAAATCAAAATGGCGACAATGTAGATTCCATGATCAAGCATGGAATGAAAACAACAGATTTCATTAGCTGCATTAATTTTTCATTGAACAGATTGTGGGTTGCTAGGTGGCAAACCTTAGCAGCATCCTCAGGGTTGTTCTTTACAGGTGCATAAGCAAGCCATGTATCCATCACCTACACAGTCACATCACATTTAAAAATAATGATAACAGCGCACAATTACCTTGGAATGAAATAAGAACATAAAATTCTGTCCTTAATAGATATAAATAGAAAGAAGTCTGAATATTAACCGATACAAGTGAAAGTCCTAGAATAAGAAGTTATTAGAAAATGGAACTGAGTTGATTAAAGTCCAAGCCATCCGATGGAAGAAGCAAATTACCGTAAACCCAACCCGTGCTGTCGGAGACAATGTTTTTGGATAATCTTGCATCATACACTCCAACCTAGTTGATGATTTAAAGGATGTTTTGCTAGCATCTTTATATCTGTGGCAAGATTAGACACAAGGGTGTTACGGTATACAGTCAAAGGTGTTGTATCTATCCTGCAGTGAAAGAATGCTGAAAATATTTCTTAAAAAAGGGAGCTAAGAATAGTAATATGAAAACAATGATGCTCCAACTGGAATAAACCATGAACCAAGCTCATAACTGATGATCAAGAAATTCTAGGATGGTGGAGGTGTGCATTTTAAACATGCCTGGCTATAACTGTTACATTACCTAGTCCCAATTTTAGAGCCATACGATCCAAGAAACAGGGATTTCTAGAAAGCAACTAAAAAAGCTAGACCGAAATTGATATCAAACCCTGCTCAAGTTTTGTCAAGCAATCTTTCTCTTGGTGCTTTATTTTTTTAAAGGAAGATGTTCGAAGTCAGACCAGAAATTCAATATCTAGATATAGTTTATAACAAGCAATTAAACATATCCCAAAACCAACCTCATGCAGTAACTCAATAAGATCTAGTATAAGGTAGCAAGTAAGAGAGAAAAATGTTACTTTGGGTTAACAAACTCCTTTATGGCGCCTCTTGTCTTTGTAAGCTCCTCAATGTACGGACCAAGTTCCAGAATCAACTACAAAAGGAAAATTAAAGTTTCAGAGACGTGTATATACTCTTTCTTTTTTGAGAGTTACATGTGAATATACTCTCCCTATCTTATAGATTCCATAAGTACATTATCAACATGATGATAACATTCCACCACTTTTAGAGATACCACGGATATTAATGTATGCATATGAAAGTGTTTATTGTCTTTGCTTCATTCTACACATGTATATTAATATATGCATGGTACTTAGTAAAGTGGCTGACCTAGCTTCGAAGAGAAACTACAGCAGCGGATGCTCTGGTACAACAAACCAGGCAACACTCATAAATTGTTAGTAAGTGCTCCATAAATTAAACAGCAGAAATTTAAGACAATGTGAGGAGCAGATACACTATCAATGTTGGTAGCATCTTTCCAGAAAGAAGATCAGTAAATAATAAGTTTAAACCAGAAATTACTTGGTTAATGTTTCCGGGGAAAGGAGAGTAGCCTGTCTCACAATTAACATCTCCATCTGGGAATCCAGTTGCTTTAAGCAGGGGATCAAGCTGGTTGTATTCCACATTGATCACCATTGACCGACCTGAAATTTTTTTATTTGTACAAATCATTAAGACAGTAGCATGAACTAATTCCAAATTGAGCACCATCAAGAGAAAAGGCACAGACATCTAAGTTAAGCTGATTTTATGGGGCAAAAACCTAGCTCCATTAGGAAACAAGCAGAATATTTAAATGCACATGTTGAGGACAACTGAAATCTCTTTCAGTACAATAGCAAAATATCACTCCTCTTCTAGTTTCAAGATATGAAGATATTTGATTTTGCTTGTCTTTCATGATATTTAACATCTATTCCATTTCAATCATAAAATAAGAAAATAACTTTCGTCCCCCTAATGGTAGGAACAGTTGCTACTAAAAAGAATGCTAAAAGTGTTGTTCCATTTTCCTTTTTATAAGAAAGCAAATGTTATTAGAGGGGAAAGATACAAAAGCGGAGGAATGGATTTCATCACAGAAGGGGAAGGAAAAAGGAGCAGTAAAGGAGAAAGGTTTGGAAACAAAACAACTCAAGTTATTCAATTTCCATCATATTTTGATTTTCAAATTCTTATTCATACTAGTGATAATAATATGTTGCATTAGGAAACAAGATAAAAATGAAGCTACATCACGATGACTGCCATGTTTCTTTTTCCAATTTGTCTCTAGGGTCAAGATAACAATTATCAAGATGGATGCTGTGTTTCATTTGTTAAGAGAAAAACTTCTACTAAAAAAGTTTATACGGTATGTTCAAAAGCTTGTTTTCCCTATTACCAAAAGCAAATATAGTAGTTGTCTAGCTGGTCATTTATCTTCCATTAAATATTGTTGAAGATGTTATAACAAATCATGCGTTTGATAATAATATTTTTTAAAGATTGTAGGAATCTACTCGATGCCTGTTTTGCATTTAAGGGGAAAAAATATTTTGTATAATATCAAAACCATTTATATGTTTCTTCCTCAAAAGATATATACTTATAGGAACCTTTTCAAAAAGATTACAAGTATATTTCGAGATCATAAAAATTTGTTCTCTTTCTTGTTTATTGTTAAAAGCCAATTTTGTTGCTTTGAAAGTGATCACATAGTTGCCTCCCCAAGACAACAAATACTGACTTTTTCATTTTAAAAAAATAGAAAGAAAAAAAAAACTAAAAAATGCATAACCAAATACTCAGTTCTAAAACAGGATTGAGCTCTGGAGAATGAAAAAGCAACTCCAAAAGCACAACCAAATAAAGCCATACACTAGAAGTAGGCAACAGAATTATTTTAATGAGTTAACTTGCTATAAATACTGTGTCTTGCATGAGTTTTTAAAAAGAAGAAACTACTATATATTACCATCAGCATGGGTCAGTCTGGTAATTCCTCCAATAGCTTCCTTTGCTTTGCGTGGAACAGCTAGAGAGTTAACGTGGTACTGTTTAATAGCACTGACACCCAATGAGGCTGGAATTGCCTACACGAGAACACAGTAGAAATCAAATACTACTTTTACAACCACCTTCTCTACTAATTATTAAAACGAATTATATGAGAACATTAAGAAATGGATACCAACCTTGAATAGTAGTCCATTGGTATCTTGAAAAAACAGAACCCATCTTAAGCCATTATCACGCCTAAAATGCAGTGAAAGACAGAAAAGACTCATCAAAATTTACATGAAACTGTAGCACTATTTCCATTTCATTTATTTTACCTCCCAACAATAACTTTACAATTCAATGAAGACGTAATCATAAGAATGATGAACCCTACACTTGATACCATTGGAGGTGCATTTGTTTCAACTTTTTTTTGAAGTATTTGCCTGTAACTTAAAATGTTTTTTTTATCACTTCTTCACTCAAATTATATTAAATAAACTCCTTTACAAACTTTCAAAACTCTAACCACTCAAAACTTTCAGTCACCAATGATCAACCTCCACAGTCACCGGCCAGACAACCACCACCAGAAACTGGCAAGGGAGTAACCAAACCATGGACTGCCATCTGGTCACAACCAAACTAGTCAACCAGGCAGCAACCTGGTGGTCACTGGTTGTCCACAACACCAGTCAAATTTTTTTACTTTTATTACTTTTTTTACATTATATTTCAGTTATTTTCAAAATAATTTACAGTATCAACGATTGTCAAATCACCCACACAATGCTAACATGCTAAGTAAAAACAAATAGATAATCTAGTGATTCCCTATATGAAAAACCACCTTTTACAACTAGGGTTTTCCTATACATAGCAAAAGGGAGAAACCCAATTTGATAAGAATGCCCCTTATCAATAAAAAAGGGTCCTAAATCCAAAAATTATGAAACCTCAAGATAGTTAACTATTACAAAATTAACAAGAAGGTTTTGTTTAAAAATATCTAAACCTTAATGGGAGTAATTGTAACTTGTGTTACTTTTTATTATAAATTATTATCATCTATTATTTATTTTATATTCATACTTTTTCTTAGTAATTCTTCTTTAAATAAAAGCATTGATTAGACATGTTTTAATAAATTTAACTAATTTCAACTCTAACGAGTTAAAGCTGGGTAAATTCAGTTTAAACAAATGGTCCTTTTTAAAAAAACAACAATTTAGTCAATCAGTAAACTGACATACAAGCAGCAAAGGAAGATTGGCTTTTAGTGGAAATTAGCAGAATCAAAAGCCCATATATTTGGAGTGTTTTACTAGAAAGGATAGTGCACAAGCAGACACAACAAGATTTAAGGTATGTGCGTATGGTTGTTGGACACGGATGCATTTTATAAAGTGTGAAGAAAAACTCATATGCATAGTAAAAATTCTAAGTACAGAGCATGAATTTGAAACATACCATATCTTAAGGAGGCCACTAGAATAAAGAAGCGAATGCACATCACCATGGCCATGAGGTTTTGTCTGTCACAACCAGAAAGGTATTGTATTTATCAGAAAACCAAGGAATATGGAGAAAACAATCAACTTATTATTTATTAACTGAACACCTCATAACTACTTATGTTTATAACATAAATTTTAAGCCACCTGAATTCTGTATTTGTTGTGTGGATCCACAGCAAGTCTGGCATCATTATCATCTAAGCATGCCACTTTTTCCTGGAATACATAGCAAATTTGCTGCTTTACTAACCAATTACACAACTGCAAGAAACTTTCTTCAAACATTAACAATTGCTAATCACGTACCTGTTTAAGAAGTTTTACTTGGGCAGGTTTCATCCCAAAATAAGAGTTTGACTCTAATAGTTCCAAAGTACGTGCATGTGTGTCATCTGATGTCATGATAACAAAAGGGATCTCTTTCTGACATTCCCCTATAGTCAAAGGAAAAGAAGAATCATAACAAAGAAAGGCTAGCAAAGTTTTTGGGGTGAAAAGTCACCCACACCATTGAAATTCTATCACATTAAAACCCCAAAATAACCAATCTCCAGTGGGTTATACAGGGCCAATGACTTTAACGCTCAAGATCACCAGCCATCCACATCTGAGGAGACAGTTACATTGTCACTAATAAGTAATGGAAGCACAAGTTCGTGGTGACAAACCTCCTGTGAGTCTGCAGCTAGCTTCCTGAAGAGCTAGAATGTATTCAATGTAATGTTGTAGGAAGCATGTTTCTGTAGTGGTCTCTGCTGGAAGTGCCACCTGCAAGATGTTGGAATGAAATCAAATCAAAAAGAGAGAAAAGTAGTATCATGACATGACCAGAAATACATGATGTTGAAAGAATGTTGAATCAAGATCCATGTCCAAGAAATTGTAATACAGTCTCGGAAGTTTTGTGATGGATGAGCGTCAGTTGATGGAAGATAAAATACTTATACTTTTTCAGAAACCTAAAATAGAATCAATAGGAGAATAAAAACAAATGATATTTTTGAATTTTCTTATGTGCAATGGAAACCAGAGGCTACAATGGTAAGAAAATTTTTTATGGGAAAATTCTCAATGTACAAAGAGTCAGTGAGAAAATTTGGGTGCTTCTGACTACTTCTAGTAAAAAATTTGTACAGCAAAAATCCCTAGATAATAATTTGAAATCCTTCAACATCAAAATATAGAAAAAGAAAAGCCCATGTAATGGTGGTGTTATCTACCTTAATTCCATTGTACCCAAGTCGCTCCCCAAGACCACCTGCAACAAGAACAAAAGCAGCTTTCTGAGCTTCCTTGACTCCTGTTTCCTCAAGGTTGATAAAGTTATCATCACCAAAAGTTAATACTTCTCCTGTCGGTACCTACAAAAGTTATAACCTTTGCATTAAACAAATTTTACTTGCTTATATTTTAACTGTGCCTAACCGATAGGACTTTAGAAATGATAAATCCAATTGATAGAACCTGGTAATCACAATATAGAGTACAAACTAGAAAAGATACTGATAATTTGGCTGTGCATAGAATTAATCTGTGTTAATAGCACACAAGCTGGTTGGAATAGAATGGTTTATATGGCGCAGGGCTTTTTTAGGAGTTTGCCTGTGCCCATTTTGCAAAAGGAATTTGGGGGGCTGTCTTCCTCCCTTGTCTTCTTCTCCTTTCATTTCTTATTGGTTTTGCTTGTTTTTGCTTGGGGATACCTTATCCTCTTCTATTTGTATTTTCTTCTAACAACTAAGACACATTGAATACTTACATAAGGTTCATGCTTGCTTTTTCATTGTTTTCCAAGAGTAAAAATTAAATCACAAAATAATTACCGACTGCAATCATTAAAATCTGTTTTTTTTTTCCGTAGGAAAAATTTGTGTTTCAAATAAATTGTTCTGATGGTTTACAGAATGAAGCCCTAAACCTGCCAGCCAAAAAAATTAAGACAATCCCACTTCACCAAGTGACAAACTCGGCCATGGGCTTCAAATGCTGAGATCTCTGTACATGGTGCCCAGTGGAAGACCAAAATAATCAAGGGGAAAAGAGGCTATTTTGTATCCCAAGTCTAGCCCTCAATCTGATTTCGCTCTTTTCCAAACCCATAACTAGATTCCCACCTAACAATTTTGGTTCCCTCAAAATGGCCCTTGTCCTTAACC